GATAAATGGAAGATTGAAAAGAATTTTTGCAAAAAGGCGTTGGTTCCAGCTTGTCTTTTCTGTTAATGCTGCCTTATTTGCCGTGTTAGGTATTGTCTTCAGAACTGAATATGTATGAATCACAGAGCCAAGAATATAAGTATGAAATCGAGAAACTTACCAATGAACTGATGAATTTAAAGAAGAAATACCTTGCTCAGAAACGCAAGGAGCACAATCAGAGGTAGGATAATCAAATGTTCTGTTTTCTATTTTGTTGCACCTCTTACCTGCTGAGAAATGCCTGGCACACGGTTGGAGTCCCAGATCGCCCTTGGGTAAAGGGGGGCAGTGGCATAAATGGCATTATTTGAATTATAGCCGAGCAAGAGATGAACTTGAAACAGTTCAGATAAAAGACATTTATTAGTTCATATCAGGGCAAGACGCGTGTCCTGTCTGGTCCTATGGCTCACTTTAGGGACCTACTGGGGATCTTTTCATATCTGGTCACTGGCAGCCTAACATGGAGCAGAGGGAGCATGTTTGAAGTGGTGCCCACAGCAGCCGTGTATGTACGGACTGAAGCATATTCACATGTAAAGCCGCAGGCGATTTTCCTAAGAGATCTGTTCTTGTTAATCATACAGCCATACCACTTCCATTACAAGCAGCACATGAATAATTTCTACCTGCTTTAGATAAATTCTTTCTGAACTCTGTCCTATCTAGTCACTAACTTCAGTATCAATATTGAGGTATCAACCTGACATCTTATTCTTCTATGAGCCGGTCATGCCAATATTGTGTTGACATTTTGGCTTTCTGGGTGTTTTCTTGTTGAAGAGTAATTATTTTCCTTATTTAGTTTTCATCATTTGTCTAATCTCAGGGTGACAAGTGAGCCCAAGTAAATCAGTAGGTTTGAACTTTGTTTTGCCTCGTGGCAAAGTTGAGTTTATTCTTTAGTCACTTGCATTATGGGTTGAAAGTCAAGTTTGGTATTTCATCTGCATGGGCATTTTAGAGACATGGTGAAAGATGGTTTGAATGTGTCTACATTATGACTCACTAATGGCAAACAGCTATTTAAAGTGGCCGGATGCAAATTCATTTGCCAGTAAAAATCTACCCTTCTTGTAAATTACAACATTCCCCATTTTATTCTTGGTGGAATAAAACACTGCAGAGAATTATAGCTAATTTATAGTAATTTAGATGAGTATGTCTCAATATGTGGGCCTAACAATGTCTGATTTGGAATCACTAGTGGGATTTATTAAACATGAAGATTCCCTGCCCCCCATTTCTAGATACTTGGAATCAGCAGGCTCTGAATGACCTCTGAAATCTGCAGTTTAGTCTTCCCACAGGTGGTTCCATGTATGCTGAAGTTTGAGAACCGCTAATATTTGCGCTATGAATCAAATGAGTGGAAACTCTACCGGCTTCCTTTACAATACATGACCAACTGTCAGTGTGGCTGGTTTCACATGAAACAGGTGTCTGGTTCAGTGGTTTTGAAGTTTTCCATTGTACACCCTCACCCATAAAACATTTTGAAATTTCAGCCTCCCCCATACTATCTAAAAAGTGTTTTTTTAGAATAATTTTTTCATTTATAAATTATGTGCGAATGTTAATAGTAGGCATGAGTCATTATACATAAGCCAGGCTTTTAATTTTTAAAGGTAAAAATACGGACAGAATGTCTATCTTCTGTCCACTTCCCAAATCCACCCTGCTGTGGGTCTTCTCGCTTATCTTCTAGCCTTCATGCACCCCAGTTTGGAGACCCGAAACAAACATCAAGCTCGGTTAAAAAGTTAGTTAGCTTTCTAGTGTTGATGGGCTTCTTCGCCTTGGCCTTGGGTTGGACCTAAACTCCTTGGACCTAAGGGATTCCCCCAGTTTTCGGGAAGCAGAGAGCACACTGAGCACCAGAGGGCGCTCTTCCCACCGGCCACCCGCAGGTACCGCACAGCCCCCGCCAGGCCCTTCTTAGCCAGCTACATGTCAGTGAATCACAGTTATCAAATCAAACCATCAGTTCTTCAGTTGCAGTAGTCACGCTGTGAGTCCTTGATAGTGACACATGGCTGTAGAGTCCGCGTCGAGCAGCCTAGAGGAAGCGCTTTGCCTTCATTGCAGAAACCTCTACTCGATAGTGCTGCTCTAGAACTTTCTTATTTGTCCTCGCCTGGTCCTTAAATCTTCATCCCTCGCAGTCGCTCTGACCTGATTAGAGTTTTGCTGGTGGTTCCATTTAGTTGGGGGTCCAAAACCTGGAGGTAGACAGAGTGAGGAGTTCACAGGAGAAGAGCAAAGAAAAAAAAAGATGAAGGTGCTGAAAGAAAATACGCAGAGGCAAGAACAAAAGTGCTGAGATGGTTTAGACCGCGAGGAAGAAGGCTGAAGGGAGTCATTATAATGGTCTATAAATACATTAAAAAGATAATATAAAGGAGACATTATTCCCATTAGTCAGCTTGGACCAAGCCAGAAGCATTAAGCTTAAGTTCCTTCAGAGAGGAAAATTTAGGTTATTTAAGGCAAGAGAGGCCGGTGGGGGAGGGAAACACCGCCCGCATCTGAGAACAGTCAGGAGGTGGACAAGCTGCCAAAGCACTTGAAGGAATCCTCTCTGCGGGATCCACTCAGGGCTGAAGCTTCTGTCCTATTTATGGAGGATTTTTTTTTTTTTTAAATAATGTAATCAATTCGGCCGAGAGACAGCTGGATTGATTAACCAGGCCTCTACAGGTTCTTTCCAAGTGAAGTAATTTAGAATAATCTCTGGGAATGTTCCCCCCACACATGCTCTTTATAAAATAATGTTAATCATTTTTACCTTGTTTTGTTTTTCTCAAATACCCTTTTTTATCACATTTTGGTCCCACCCACCTGCCCCAGATCCCCCACTGAGAACCCCCAGATGGTTCAAAGTCTGCAATACCAGTCAGATTTTTCCCCCCCAAAAGCAGTGTTCATTCCTTAAGGTAAATCATTTCTAGTTGTCAACTCTAATTGGTTTTGGTCTTAGTAATTTGCTTAAGTTTTATTTTTAAAAAAGGATTACAAAGTTGTTCTCTATGAGATCTCTAGTTACATAAGAGGTAATTTGTGTACTTTGAGGTATCTCAGCAGAAAACCTCTGTGTGTCTGTGTGTGTAATGGAAATCTTTATAGGGTTCCAGATTTTAGGGTAGAACTCCCCTTATCTGTTGGCCAAAAGTACTACCTTACTTATCTTTACCAGCTTCTTAAAAAATATCTTAAATTATTTCTAATAATAGCTGCTGCTTGTACAAAGTCAAAGGAAAATTTGTATTTTATAAATGTCCAATTTTGATTAAGATACCTTGTGTGTGGTAAATATTTATAAGTTTCCACTGGAACTTTGGAATATAAAAGTTGATAAATGATGAATTAGTCATTATAATTGAGCCAAGAGAAAGATTATTCTGACTGATCTTTGGAACCAAACAAGTATTTTGTAAACGAGGACGATGATTACAAGTCAGCAGCCTGAAGTCCATAGTGTCTGGTTTATAATGAGCTCTTCTGTCCTATTTAGATCAACATTACGAGGACACATTTAATTGTATTTCTCCCTAATCCTATGTGTGATCACTGAACACCTAATTAGATTTAAACAACCACCTTATCTAAAACTGGAAGCATTAATCAAAGAAATTTTCCATGGCTAACTTACCCCAGGAAGTTAGGGAACATCAAACTTAGAAGAGGAAAAAGATGTTTGGGGGCTGACTTTCACCAATTCTTTTACAGAAATAAGGACAGAATACCCATGGACAATTCCTTCTCAGTGTCCAGACCAACTGGCCCTCGTTTTACTGGAGGTGGATTTCCCCTCAACCGGTCATCCAAGGTCAAGTCCTAAGTCAAAGCTGCTGACTGGGTCCAATTGAACAACTCATGAAATTCGCAATCTGGGACATTTTGGCAGAAATTCAAATCCCTTGGATCACAGATATTTAGGAAATCAGCACTTGAGGTTCTAGGATGGAAAGAAACACAGAGCCATCATAGCAATGTACATATAGGAGGATGAATAATGGTGTTCGACTCGGTCCACATGGATATTAACAGATTGTAATTATATCTATTCAATTAGGCTGACCCATTGCATGAGCAGATCTTTAGTTACCACCACAGTGCTTGATCTGAAATGCACCACAACTAGACACAACATATGGACACAGCTTTGGATCTTAATTTCTCTACTATAGATATTGGTGCACTTGAAGTTTTTACATTTAAAACATATTTTTGAATGCAATGTATTCTTATTAATAAGAATCTATTTTCATTATCCCCCATTAACAAGTAATCGCATGAGATAAGTAAGAAGGACAAAGTCTCAAGTATTTAAAAAAAAAATGTTTTGAGAGTGATTTCTATGTGGAATTTTTTTTAGGCCTGGGGTATGGAAATCTATTCCAAAGAGACATACTAATAAATACTTCATCATAAAAAATAAAAAAAGAGCCTTTGTAGAGATTTTGATCTTTGCTTTGGTAGAATACATAATTAAAATTTAAAGCTACCGTGAGGAGTGTTTAACACAAGGATTTGATGCAGAGGAACCGAGACTATAAAATGAGGTTTCTGTCATTTCTAGGCCTCACTTTGGAGAACAGAAGTACATTAGGCAGGAAAGTATATTAGGCTTCTAGACCAGCAGTTTGAACCTTTAAATTCATTGTGTTGTCTTTTTGTTGAAACCACCATTAAGTGGGCAGCAGTTCAAAGTTTGCTTGTTAATCGTGTTCACTCAGTGATAGTATGTGGGGGATGCTGACACTCTTGTAATAACTGGACAGCTGTCATTTTTAAAATGTCACCGAGAAGTAAGTAGCTCAGGGTGATCAGGATCATCCCTACAGACCATTCCATTTGCGCTCTGCAACTAAGTTTCCTATTGTGAGAAGCAGCGGTTGCAATGACCTCACTATGCTTATTTGGGTTCAGGGAGTTGGGATTCTCCAGGGGTCACTTCTACATGTTTAAACCTCCTCAACTCACTGCCAGAACCAGCCCAAGGCAAGGATGACCATGAAAGTAATTTTTTATGGAGGGACCCCAGGGAAACCAGCAAGAGTGTGGGAGCCAAGCCTTGGGCAAGTTTCATGGTGGCTGGATCTTGCAGGGGTCTTCTGGAGACCCGGGTTGTCCCCCTTGGGGGTGAAGGAGCTGGTGTGCATTCTTCCCATGTTGTCTGTCAGAAGCCAAGGACTGTTCTGGGGATATCTTTCCGGGTCTCTCTGATTGCAGGCAAAGCAATTAGGGAAAATGGCGCAGGGAAGCACTGAGGCTTCTCCAGTGGAAGAACGGCAGATGGAAACCAACCTGTGTGAATGGTGACCTGGAATGAGCTGTGGTAAGGACGGTGGGCATGTACCCTAGCGACTTTAGAGAATGCGCTCAATCTATAGGCTCATAGTGGGGACTTTTGCATTTCTGAGAATCACTGACACTTCCCCACAGAAAGATTTGCAGTGGCCCTCCCTGGTGGCACAATGGCTTAGGACACAGCACTGTAAGCTAGCCAAAGACGCTTCAGTGTGAGTTCGATCCCCGGCCTTGGAGGTGACCCACATGGTGCAAGCAGACCTCTCCTGTCTCCCCCACTGCTCCTCTCAGCAGTGTACTTTGTCAGCTGGCCTGTTCTGCTTCCCACTCTGTCTCTGGTGAATCCTCTCACCACCCCTGCCCCTCTGGCCTGTATCCCAGTTCTGTATGCATAAATAAAGAAATCTTTAAAAGAAAAAGATTTGCAGTTAAGGTAAAGCAGTTGTGAACCATATATGACACTGAGACTTTTCCATCTGTTCAGGGACAGTGTGAAGGGTAGCCATAGCTAACTTGTTCTGGGCCCTTGACTTTATAGGAGGTTCAGTTCTCTAAGGAATGGGGGTCTGTATTCTTGAGCTATCCCAATATAATTAAGACTCTTGTAGTCAAATTCCATTTATCATAACAATGGGTTGTTTTAAGGATCAAATGAATTAACTCATGTAAGCTTTAGGACAAGGTCAAACACATAATAAATGTTCAATAAATAGCTGCCATTATTATTACATAAGTGATACCTAATGTTTTGAAATTAGAGAATAAATGTTGTTACATAATAACTTTATTACATCAGCTATAAAAGTGATTCTAATCTTCAGAGGATGGAAGACACTGAAATGTCTGGGTGAAGTTGGATTTGGTAATGTAATTTATAATTGGATGCCTTGTAGAAATGCTGCATGGGGTAGCTCATGAAAACCCCTGTATATTTTTCTTATAATGGCTATCGGGGGACAAATCCTTCACTTTCAGAAATCAGAACTTCCAGAGGGAAAGTGCTGTGCCTTCCCGTGATGTAATGGGGGGGGGGTGTCAGCCTCTGTGGATGGGCACTGGGAGCTGACAAGGCAGCTCTATGGACTTGCTGCTCTTCCGTCCAAGTGGAGGGTGAATTAAGGCCAGCAGGTACTGGCTTGCCTCTCACTGCACATCCTGGTGGCCCAAGGTATTATAAACAATAACTATTTAGGTGCAGGTGTTAGCACCAGAGCCACAGTACAAAAATGAGCTGTTAAATACGCAGAGATTTGCAAATCATTAAAGATAACTGTGAAATCACAGTGGGTTGAGGTGCTTTTAAAACACAATTTTAAGCTGTATTGTAAAGCAGCGTTACGAGGTTGTACAATGGCATCCTTTACCCTGGGGTTTTCCGTTTCGAAAGGGAGTCATGTTGCTACACCAGACATTGACTCTCGGCTGGGCTGTTGGGGAGCTGGTGTGGTTTCTCTGTTGACAGAGAGACATGATAAAGGGGACCCCCCCGTCATTATTTGCTGATCATAGCTTCTCCGCAATTGCTCTTATAGTCTGGTTTTTATTGCGCTTACCTCTCAAGAAATTGCTCAGAGCAAAGGTTTGTTGCTGTGATAAGCCATGGAGACAGGGCTACTCAGGCTAAAAGGAAAAGGCAACAATTCTTCTTGTCATGGGGCGTCATTTTGCTATAAAAATTTATCCAGGGTTGATAATTATCATTTGATTTCCTGGCTTGCTAAGCCAGAACCTAAGGTTCAATGTAGGCCAAAATGCCCATTGGAAAAAGCTCTATAATGAATTTTGAGCAGTATGGCATCGAAGACCTGGATAATTTGAGGGAAGCTCCCATTTCTCAAACATAATCAATTATCTGGAGATGTGTTTGGAACAGGGACAAAGGGAGGCGCGTTTCAACATTGAATGGTAAAATGGTTTACAAATATATCTCATTTTCTTTGTAGTAGGTGGAAAATATTTTTGTGGAAATTCCATTTTTAACTTCTAATTCAATGCTGTTTTAGTATACCATTTCTCATATCTATTATTTAAAAGTTCCATTAGGGTTTTGAGACCCATTAGAATTTCTAACGGTGTGAAATGTGATATCAACAGTTACCATTTTTCTTTCGTATAATTAAAAATAGATCCCCCCCCATTTTAAGTACCTGATTAAAAATAAGGATAGAAAATGAGAAAACACAGATACACAAAATAGAGAAAAGGACTTTAATACTCTCTCTGGTAACTACTCCCAATCCCTGTTGGTAACTGTTGTTTTGGCTTTTCACGTGGGTTGGCTGTACCAATGCTTCATGTCCACAATTTGTTCTGATTCATTGGTATTTATAATTCTTTAACTGTTAAGTGTTTTGTAAATCACCTTTGGAATACAACTGTTTTGTAATTTTCTGTGTATCTCTCTGGACATTTACAATAAGTATACATAGACATATTTGGTTTTTAACAATCAAATATGATATAATGGTGATGTAATTTACATGTGGTAATAGCATATTTTAGTACACTTTGATAAAATTTATGTCCAAATAACCATTGCCATTGTCACCACCCTCCCAAAAATGTCTTCATGCCTTGGCAGTCAACATCTGTAGCCCTCATCTACCCAAGCAATGATGAATGATGGATCTGTATATTATTTATGTTATTAGTATTTTATTCTTTAGCATTTCAAATAAATGGAATCATGCAATTTGTTCTTTTTTGTGCCTGTTCCCCTCCATGTCATATGTTTTCTTGAGATTCAACCATGTTGTATATATTGGCAAGTCATTTTTATTGCCAAGTAATATTTCATAATACTAACATAACACAATTTGTTTATTTATTTACTTGATGAGAAATCAGGTTGTTTCCAGTGCTTAGATATTATGGATAAAGCTGCGAGTGTTCACGTAGAAGTCTTCATGTGGACAGATACTATCTTTTCTATCAGGTAAAAACTGAGGAGTGGAATTGCTGGATTGAAAAGTAAGTACGTATGCATTTGACTTGACAAAACACTTAGATTGTTTTCCTAACCTACTGGGCCATTTTACCTCCCCAACAACAATGTGTATGAAGTCTAATTACTCCAGCCCTTGTCAATATTTGGTATTGTCAGTGTTCTTTTAAGTTATTCTTTGGCTATCTGGTGATATCTCATTGTGGTTTAGGTTTGTATTTCCTGCACTAAGCATCTTTTCATGTGCTTCGTCCATTCATATGCCTTCTTTTGTGAAGTGTCTTTCAAAATTCTGCCCACTTTTTATCTTGCCCATTTTGTTAGTTAGTGTAAGTTCTTCATCTATTCTGGATGCAAAATCTCTGTCATATATATATATATATGTAATATATATATACATATAGAAATATATATGTATATACATTGGAATACCATTTGTGACTTACGTGTTCATTTTCTTTGCTGTATATTTCAAATGTTTATAAGCCATTTTTAAATTTTAATAAGGTCCTCACTTCTCTCAATGTAGTGTGTTTTTCCTGTCAAGTAATTTTTGCCTAGTCCAAGATAGTAATTTTTTTTAA